TGGGCTAAAAGAGAACTTTTACTTTTAATTAAAGTCACAGATGGAAATTTTGTCAAAAAAAAATCTTATTCATAAATGACTCTATCTGAATCATCTTTTGTTTCTATTGGAGCTTCTTCTATTGATAAATAGACACTGGATGTTAAAAAATGGCAAGACATTTGTCAAGCACCAAAACATTTGCAAAATGTCCCTCTACCTGATGTTTAGGAATCTAAGGCTTGGCAGCTGACGTGTAATCTGTGCAATGCTCTCCCAAGAGGAGAGGAGAGTATTGGAGATGTCGAGGTCTTGGAGCTTAGGCAGAAGCTTAGCGAGGTCGCTATTCCCAGCTCCCCAAACCATCCATCCGTCCAACACAACAGTTTCCAGTTCTTCTAGCTTGCTGATAAAAAAGAAGGGGACTAAGAATATATATTTTTTTATCTATCTATCTATATATGTGAATGAGAGTACGTGTGTGACAGAGAACAAACAAGAGAGAGAGAGAGAGAGAGAGAGAGAGAGAGAGAGAGAGAGAGAGAGAGAGAGAGAGAGAGAGAGAGAGAGAGAGAGAGAGAGAGAGAGAGAGAGAGAGAGAGAGAGAGAGTGAGTGTGAGTGTGAGTGTGAGTGTGTGTGTGTGTGTGTGTGTGTGTGTGTGTGTGTGTGTGTGTGTGTGTGTGTGTGTGTGTGTGTGTGTGTGTGTCTGTCTCTAAGATGATTTACTTGGCAAATTATAAAGTGTGTTCTAAAGCCCTCATGCAAATATCCAGAAAATCAAATATATATCAAGCTATATCATCAAAGCCTCTGAAAATGCACACATAGGTCAACACATGACCACAAATATTGTTATCATTACAAATATATACAAATATATATATATATAAAAAACTAGCCATCACAGAAACTTATGAAGCACTTCATTACCAAGTTTTTCTTCTCTGGAAATAATTTAGAAAATAAGAACTAATAGGAGTACTTTGTATTTTCACTTACATACATACAGTCAATGTTCACTTACACCAGGATGTAAACAGCACACTCTATAGTAAAAGCAATTTACACATACCTTTGCTTCTTTCCTATCTTCTCCATCCCAACAACTTCTACAAATCTTGCATTGATTGTCTTTTGCAGCATATCAGTCACCTATAAAAGATATATATCCTAATAACAAAGGAAATTCCCCACTCTATAATCTGAAACCATCCATTTTACAGAGCAACATTAGCAAAATATTTATGATGATTTCATGCAGGCTACCTACATGAGCCTCAATGGTTGGGTCATCCTGGTATCTTCCTCGCACTGCTGCCTCTAATGTCATGCCACTGCTCACTTTGGTTGGACGGACAAAAGATCCTGATTTTGGATACCTGTAAGTTGTTATCATACAGCTTCCCGACTTTCATTGGTTTTGGAGATGATTAATTAATCACTTTATCAATGCCTTTAGTAGTTTTCAATATAAGAAGGCAACTTGGTAACAATCACAAGCACTAATTACTTATATTAAATATTCATAAAACATTACCCTGATCTTGCTGAAATTTCTTTAGAATGAAGTCTTAATCCAGTGATGCTTGGAATATACACTGTTCACTGTGGCTTTATTTACTTATCTACTCATTTTTTCTTTACACACCAATGGCCCTTCAAATGCTCAGTTACCAAGGAGCCAATTACTTGGTCTACCTGACCTGTTTAGTTAATTTTCTGATTTTTTTTGCATTTTTGCATCATTGTTATTAACATTATTTCTTTCATTACCAAAACATGAATAGCAGCACTAAAAGTAAGTAACTCTTTTTTCCAAAAAATTAAGGGTTCAAGGCTAATAAGCAAGGTCAGGTAGGCCTTGATGATTAAGCACTTATGAATCATGTGTATAGAACAAAATAAATATAACTATACCACAGTGGACAGTACATGCATGCATGCACATCTGACATTAATGGGTTAAAAAGTAAATCAATCAAATCTTGAATCAGTAACTGTATATCTACTTATATTGCCTTATACCTACAAACTTACTGGGTTTCAAAGTATTTAATTCCATTGTGAGTACCATCATGTTTGCCTCGGTTTTCGTCATCCCAGTCCACTCCATACCACATGCCCTGTGTGCCAGGAACCTCCCCAATCCATTTCACAGTCCCAAGGGCTCCATCACACTCCACCCTATTCCCAACATCCACTGCTACTCCTGCCATCTAAAAATGATTACAAAGTTTGATAGCAAAAAAGGCCTGAATGAGAATGAATATAATCACTGCTCAAGAGATGTAATTGGCCAGGTTTTGACTGTATCTTCATTAGGAAAATAAATGTGTATCTGCCAACATGCTCAATAGGCCTTAGTTATTGAAAACTTACCTTATCCAGCTAACCCAAATCTCACAGGGCCTTGGGCAGTTGCTAAATCAACTATTGTTCCTCTCTGTGTAACAAGAATCAGACCCTCTTTCACAAGCTGAGCGCCAATCTTCCTAACAGCTGGCATCAAATCTCGCCATGCCTTGGGTGAAAGAGCACGTGCAACCTAAAGATGAAAAAAAAATTAATAATGATAAATTTAAAAAAATAAATAAAATAAAATACATAAATAAAAATAAATAAATATATAAATAATAAATGAGAATGTAGCTACAGTGCTTTTCAAACAACTTCTATTCATCATCTGATATATCTAGTCTTAACCTTACCTCAGAAGGGCAAACTGTCTTCCTGACACCCCTTGCTTGTACCAATTCTATTATTTTTGATCGAATCAGGGCATCAAACTTCTTGGCGAGTCTCTGCTGCCGTTCCAATGGTGGTTCTAGGCTTCTCTTAATAGCATAAGTGTTGTGGGTAGAAGTTACTGGGGTAGATGATGTGGATGTAGATGGTGTATTGACATAGGAGGGAGTATCAGGGTTATTATATGATGTGACACTATTCACTGATGTTGTGTTTGTATAAATACCAATGTTGCTACCTGCTGAGGTATTTGAATATGATGGTATGTCACTTCTTACTGTTGTGGTTGCATATGAAATATTTCTGCTATCACTAGGATGAAGAACTGCAGGTGATTCTGAATTTGATACGGATATTGAATTTGCAATTGTATTACTGTTGGGTAAAGTGGCTAGGCCTGTAACAGGAATGGATGTTGTTGCATAGGGTTGGGGAGTAGCAAGCACAATATTGCATGTAGGGGAATGAGATGATGGTTGTGTGTATGTGATTGTTCCTCCTAATAAGCAGGGGTCAGCTCCAACTGGGCTGTGCTCTGACTGCACTGCTACAGCTACAGCTGTTGGAACTGTGAGTGCCCCAACAGTGTGCACTCCCGAAGGGGCTCCCAGTATCGGTCCAGTGGGGGTGGGCGTCAGTAGCTGGACGGTTGTCAGTTGCTGAGGTTGAACCAAGTACTGTTGGCAGTTTTACCATTTTAGAATAACATATACTTTTTGAACATTTAATATAAAGTATTTGTTCACACTATAAAATACAGAAATGAATACATTAATTAATTTACTCAATATGAAGTACAGGAGAAAATATAATCTTATGCATCCCTATTTTTCCATGAGCAACATACCTATTAAATATCTTAATATTCTTTAGTCCATAATACCTCAAACATAAAAGTTAACCTCACCTGTCCAGGTACTAGTGATGCTGGAGATGCAAGTCGCTTCAATGTCTCCTCACCCTCACCATCTTCTTGTTTTCTCTTCATTTAGATTTGTTCTGGAGTTAAATAATGCCAGTAGAAGTTTCATCATATGCCCCAAAAAAGGAAAACAAAAAGGAAATGTGTGATATGGCATATCAAAATTTACAAGTTGGGAAGGCAGAGGAAGAGAAGGGGGTACAGGGGGGGGGGGAAGAACAAGAAGAGGAGGAGGAGGAGGAGGAGGAGGAGGAGGAGGAGGAGGAGGAGGAGGAGGAGGAGGAGGAGGAGGAGGAGGAGGAGGAGGAGGAGGAGGAGGAGGAGGAGGAGGAGGAGGAGGAGGCGTTTAATGGCCTACTCCCTCTTCATACCCTCAGCTCCCCCTCCCCCTGGTGCCCAGGACTCTACTGATTAATGCCTGTACAAACATCGACCTGCATCCAGAACCGAACGACACTGATGTGCCCAGAGTGAGCGATTCCTACCCTTATCAACGATTTAATGGCCTTTCCCATTGACTTCCCACGGTGCCCAGGACCCTACTGGTAATCACCTGTGCCGAGTTTGACCTGCGCCCAGAAAGTAATGACAATAGTGAAGTGCCCCCAGAGCAAGCAATTCCAACCCTTACTGTTAAATACTTTATAACTACAAGTGTACTTATATCATGATTATACTCAAAATGTTTGTCAAAACTTCCTTAGTCTCAATCACTATGTTTGTATTCATTATTGTTGTTGATATTGTAGTTATCCAATGTTCATGATTTAATTGTATTGTCATATCCAGTGTCCTGACCTAACATGTGACCACAGGACCCTTACACTGCTATAAAACAAACTCTGTACTGACATTTCCTACCAAAATCAATGTTGCCATGTTCTTATATTTATTGAATATTTTGTGAACCATTCAAAATCTCAGAGAGCCGAAGTCACTCTGCCTTCAGCATCGGCTTGGTTAACACCTCTAGCTCCTGCTTAGAATAAACCCGAGGAACTCAGCCGATATTTTCTTCACACATCAGTTGTAGCCATTACAGGGAGGAGAGGGAGAAGGAGAAGGAGAAGGAGAAGGAGAAGGAGGAGGAGGAAGAGGACAAGGAGGAGCAGGAGGAGGAGGAGGTGGAGGAGGAGGAAGAAGAGGAGGAGGAAGAGGAGGGGCTAGAGGAGGAGGGGCTAGAGGAGGAGGGGAAGAGGGGGTCGAGGAGGAGGAGGAAGAGGAGTAAGGGGAAGAGGAGGAGGGGACGACAACAACGAAGAGAGCAGGAGTGGAGAGAAGAGGAGGAGGAGAGTGGGAGGGGAGAGAGGAAGAGGAGGAAGAGAGAGGGAAGGGAGGGAAGGGAGGGAGGAG